AAACCCAATTAAAAAAAAATCACACAATACTCTCTAGTAATTAAAATGACCAGAATACCAAGAAATAGAAAATAACATCTAAATCTAATGAAGTTATTTTGTAATTGGGATCATAGCTACATGGGCTCATAGCTACTGGGCCTGAATTACTTCCACTCCACTCATTTATTCAATTTAATTTCCATCTTCCAAATAATCAATTTTTTCTTTCAGTCTCTAGACTCATAATGTTCAAGAGCTTATGGCTATTGTACCTTCACTTAAAGCTCCAGCCAATACAGCAAATAAAAACAATTATATAGTACTGTCAGTATCTGCTGTAAGGACTAAAAATATTTATCTATACATTTTTTCAAATAAGGATTTAGACATTCCATAAGAAAAAAGAAAGATTATAAATGAATGAACTATGTTCTCCACCTTTTATAAGACTACTTTGCTTTACTTTTCCATCTGAAAAATAAAAACACTCCAAACTACAATGAACTTCAAATTCCTTTGGGAGAGAAAGACTTACTGATTTCATTATTTCTCTGTTAAATTTACATCACATTTAGTGACCAACTCTGTCCTCAACAGTCAAAAAATGTTTCCATTACCAGCAAGCAATTAAGAGTATTCACAAGAACAGAGTTCTCACTGCATATATTACCTTACCTCTTACGGAGAAAAATGACATTGATGGATTGGTGAAAAGTTTAGAATGATATAAGTAGTGGTGTTATATTATAAAGGCAAGTGAATAAAAAAATGTATTGGATTAATAAGTAATCAAAAAGACTAATCAGCATGCTATATAGAAATATTCAGATAGACTCCAGTTGTATCAACAATATGAAATACAGTAATTAAAGGTGATTTCAGTAGCTAATAAAATGTTGCGCTTCCTTTGAGAATGGGAATGACATCTACTGCACTTGTTATCTTTCCTATAAATATTCTGGGGTAATTTTTTACTTTTGTTTTGTAATATGGACAACATAATTCACAGTCACATTCTGCAGTATTTTCATTCATTCTTCTTTTTGTATAAGGAAGGAAATATCCATCCCATTCTCTCTTATTTCTGTTAATATTTATGGTGCTGACAGAATCTAAAATATATGAAAGATAAACTCTTGTGTCATTGAGTCACCAGTTTTAAGACTTCCTGGGAAAAAATAAATTAAAATTCAAGTGAAATAAAAAGTTGAAGGCAACTCGTTTCTCTTATAGTGAAAAAAGGATAACAATCAGATACAGGTGTTCCTGGCCATCTCATGACAGAAGAGCTAAAAGTAGGCCCTTTTTTGCCAGAGTTACTGGAAAACTCAAATAAAGTACAGAAGAATTTAAAATGCACAGTTTAACCACAAAAGAAAGAATATAACCAAATCTGATCAGATTAGACTAGATTTGATCTAAACTACAGTAAAAGTGTACTGCAGTCTAACAGACAACTCTAGCTATACAATGTTTCTAATCAGAAAATTGTGAAAAATATTGAGCAAGATGCTGACATGCCATACATTGTCATACTGTATTTTTTTTTAAATAAAGGCAACAAAAAGATGTCCTTCAGTAACATATCAGACTCTTTTTGACCTTTTGACAGACAATCTTTTTCTTTTTCCTAAGGTTATCAGAAAGTTGGAGCTTATTTATACCACCAGAAAAAAGAATGTTGAAAATATGAAACAATCTTGAATTTGATGGAGAAGAAAAGTGAATGAGGTCAGGCTTCAATATCCTTTCACAAGCCATAATTTTTTGCTTAGTTACAAGGCAATGTCAAAAGCCAAAGGGATAATTTTGATGGGGGGAATGATACAGACCTCTCTGAATTGAATTCAGGTAGGGAGTAGGGAAAAAGACCTTTCATACTGTCCAATCTAGCTGAAGAGAAGGCACACTGCAGTGTATGTGACACTACAGGAGATTGTTCCAATACTTCAACAACACAGACTTAAAAAGTAATCTGGCTGTTCTGGTGACAGTGCACCTTCTCAAGACCAACTGAGGTAACTTAGAGGATAAAATATAATGAATCATGCAACAAAACAAAGTTATGACGACATGAAGGAGACAAAAAGTTACAAGGATGACATACAGACTCATGGACTCATTTAATACTGAATAAAACAGGTATGTTGTCTACCAGTGTTCACAAATAGCCTCCAAGTAAATATTCAGAGAATGGCAAAATTAGCATATTGGTCATATGGGTCCATGATACATTCAGCAGAATTGTCATGGACTCGTTCAAATTACTTTAGACTATGGCTGAAATGTGAAAGGCAGTGGAGATGTGTAGATACAGTTGAAAGGAGGATTGTTATCTAGATTGATGCCACCATTTATACTTGTAATTGCCTGCAGGTTTTATTTCACGGAAAGAAGACATTTGATTTTAGAGAGCAATTACTGAAGATAAATGTTGGAATTTATGCTTATACGAAGATGGGGAAATATAAAAGAAAGGATTCGAGTGGGATAATAGTAAAAATATGTTACATGTATTTCAGAGGAGGAGAGAATAGGATAAGAGCAGTCTGGTATCCCTCAGGCAAAAACAAACACCTTTAGTAAGAACATGGGAAACACCTCATCCACAGTTAATCTCAAGGTGGTATTCTTCTAATGCTTATATAAATGTTCTTGTTGGCTTACCAAAATAAGCAAGGAGAATTTAGTAGAACTAAATGGGATAGTGACAGACTTTATGGAATGTTTTAATATTTCTTTAGAGTGTTTACAACAAAAAGGAAAAAAACCCATAAGTAATAAAGGAGTGCTGTGTATACTAAATATATATGGAAGCAAGATGCATCACAAGAGAATATATCTTTCCAAGACTGAAACTGAAAGCACTAATCTCCTCAATCCTTACAAGAAAAATGAATCTGTAATAGGTTGATCCTGGACCAGCAGCTAAGCATCCACACTGCCACTGTCCCACCCCTCTCCAGAGGGACATCAGAGAGAACAGAAAGAGCAAAAAAACTCATGAGATGAAATAAATATAGTTTAATAAGCAAAGGGAAAAGGAAAAAAAAACAACAAACCAATCCAGAACAAAACAAGTGATGCAAAGGCAACCACATCATCTCTCATAAGCACAGTGCCCAGTCAGTCTCCAAGCAATGGATGGCTCCCCTCAAGTCCCCTCTTCTCAGTTTTTATTGCTGAGTAGGATGTTACATGGCACGGAATACCCTCTTGGTCAATTCAGGTCAGTGGCTCAGGTTGTGCCCCCTCCCAACTTCTTGCCCTCCCCCAGCCTACTCTTTGAGTGGGAGAAGAGCAGGAAAAAGAGAAAGCCTTGATGTGGTGAAAGTACTGCTCAGGAACAGCCAGAACACCAGTGTGTAATTAACACTGTTTTAGTCACAAACCAAAACACAGCACCATATGGGCTGCTATGAACAAAATTAACACCATCTCAGCCAGAGCCAGTATCAGAAGGCGTTTTACTTCAAAGAATTGTCAAGGTGTACACACTACTGTTTTGGGAACTGGAATCCCTTCAGATTGCCCCATCTAATGCATATAGTGCACAGAACAGGAGTGACACTGCTTCAAACTATCAGGGTGATAACTGATCTCAGGGGTTTAAATGTTCTATCTTCTTCCACTTATCCTTTAAATTTAAGAACATTGATGATAAGTTGAGTTGATGTCTAAATGTGCACACAGAGATTTGTTCACTTAATTCACAAGATAAATTCAAAGCCTTGAATGGTTGGAAGCCTGTGATAGATTGGGAAGGGTTGGACCACATGAACTGGTCAGCTGAAGTAGGAAGGAAGAAAGTGGTGGAGAAAGTGGTGACAGACTAAATAAAATGGAATTAAGAGTTCAGACAAAGACTGTGGAAGAACCTAAAACTTTTCTGGACATTTTATTATTATTCACCTATGATGCCTTAACACAAAGTCTGGGAGAGGAGTTGCCAACTGATATAGGAGACAAGTTGCTCTAAGTTAAAGCAGTGTAACTGTCCTACTAGAAAAATAATATTTTTCAGGTCATTTTCAGGAAACAGGTAAGAAATCTGGCATAGATCAAGAAAGGTATATGCATGAATTTCCGGTACCTCCTGGTACCAGGTGACCCGTATACCTGATGCTTCAAGTAGACATTCCAATTTTCTCATTAAAAAGAATTAGAAGTAAAAAAATATAGGGCAACCCATAAAGAAAATGGAAAATAACAACAGTGAATGAACTCCTCTTCTCATAGATACAAAGAACTGTGGACTAGTTGGACCACAACTACTGGTCGATTTGAAGTAGTCCTACCACATGGTAGCAGAAAACAGCTGATGCATGCTGCAATGTGTTAAACCTTTCTCAAGCACATTATTTATTGAAGCTTTATTAAACTTCACTTTTGCTTTCATCTTTCCTGAAGTCCAGGAAAATCACCATTGACATCCTATTCCATGGCTACTTTATGATCCATTACTTAGATCTCTGAGATGCGAAAGGATTCTACGATCAAATAATACAAAATTTTGTACAATGTACTTTGCGAAAATCTCTTGTTGATATGAGTTTCTATATGACAATAATATGCAGCACAGTCATGATGATTGTACACTACGTTATCATTTGTAAAGAAACAGTAGAGTTAATTGACAATATTAGAATTTAGGAATACAGAAGTATTCTATTAGAGATACAGAATGAGATGTTATACAGAATGAAATGTTGTAACTTAAAAACTAATTAAAATAACACCAGGCTTAACCTCTGTACTAGCTGCTGATGCTAACTGAATTCCCAAGCTACAACAGATTATAGAAACATGTTTGTAGGAGCTATATTTGTTGTCCTTTTTTTACTTTATCTTTGGTAATCTCCATGCATGCCATTAGTCTCACAAGAAGATGGACTGCATAGTTTTTAATAAGAAGACTTTCAAATCTCCATTCAAAGAATTCTTATAGAGCCACCATTCCACAGGAAAATATCAGGTACAGTCATCTAACCCAGTGCTTCCCCTTTTAGATTACAAACCTTAATTTATCTGTTCCAGCTTTGTACCTCGAGATTCGAGCCATTGACAGAGGAACTGATAAGGTGTCTAGCCAGCGCTTCTCGTATTTTGGTTCATTAGCTATGGGTGAAGAAGGTGATGACGGAGCCTGTGTGGAATAAATGAGAATCAGTAAGTGCAGTTTATCAGATAGTATAGTGAAAAAAACATGAATATGCATCTCTGGCTCTGCTTGTCTCAGAAGTGAATAATCATAGCAATAAAACTATTCAATAAACTCAGGATTTATTAGAGAAATGAAAAGAAGCATTCATGTGGAAAGGAATGCTACCTATATTATGCCTGTGACATAATTTCAGTATTAACATTAAAGATAATTATATTTTTGTTAATATTTATAATTGACAATAAAAAGGAAATAGTTTTTAGTTATAAATGTCCTGAATTTTCTCTAAATGCAACATCAAATACATTTTTGGTTTAAATTAATTTGGTCTGTGCAACTCTTCTACATGCTTCAAACAGTCATGAGAGAGAAAGACACAAATAAAATCCTAATGTAAAGACTACAAGAATTAGTCTTTACATCATTGTGTCAATGACTGAAAGTATAGAACTATGCCCAAATTGTCAAAAAAGGTGGTAACTAGTTTTGTTTGCTAACGATTTCAAAATAGTGTTTACAGCCAAAAATCAATTAAATTGGAAACAGATTAGTAAATGCTGGAAACCGCTGCTTAGTGTACCAACTGAGATTTATGAGCATGATTATGAGCTTAAAAAAATGGTTATTACATAAACAATAGAACTATCTAGGAGTTTCTATAGAATGCATAAAAATGACAAATTGAAAAGTTTTTATTGGTATTTATATCTCTGCACTATCATGACAGCTGAGCATTTCACTCTTTTATGAAGATAGCAATACTATTTACAGAGAGGCAGCTAAGAAGGATTCACAGACATAGATATTTAGGTCAAAGTTAGGCATTTGTGCTGTCTCCAAAACAAAAATAATTGTCCCACATTGTACAAAGAACTTTACAGGAGAGGAGGGAGTTGAAAGTTGGTTATTTTCATATGAACTGTAAATATGCACCAAGTGGTACTTAAAAAAGCAAATAAATCACACAATGACACAACTTCAGATCTGTTATACCCAGATGTTCAAAAGCTGTAAAACTTACTCAAAATAAAGAGCATTCTGGGAATTTTCTATTTCTTTTTCTTGTTCATAAGGATTTAGGGTTAATTTTTTCCCCCTATAGCTTCTTCTTACAGTCAGCAAGAGCTGATCTTTCTATTTACTTCTTTAAATAAATCAAAATAGTGAGTTTCACATTCTAACAGGATGACTGAGAGTTAGTGGTTAAGGGACAGTTTTCTAGTAAATGAAAAATTTGTCATGGAATTGCCAGGGTTGGTAACACTAAAGCATCTTTTAGATTGCAATCTCTTTGGGGAAAGGAATTTAATGTAGAGTATTTGCAATCCCTAAAACAATCCAGCTTCCATTTGATTGAGATCTCCTGGTGTTGTTGCAGTATGAATATTTCATAATCAAGTCCACAGACTTAATTCTGTTTCAGAGAATTAGCCATAAAAGGCTAAGGTGTCTCCAAAGCTTAGTATAAATTTAATAATATAGTGAAGAATCTGATGCATATTTTAGAATTCTGTATAAATTAAAATGATTGACAGGACCACATGCAATCTGAAGTTGAAAATGGTCATCATAATCTAATGTGCTTGTCTGGAAACCAAAATGTCTAAGAATAAAGCAGAAGGTAGCTTATTAAAGTCAAACATAAATGCTTGAATGTGATCACTGAATTTAAATCCAAGAATTGGAAAAGAGAAAATAACAATTTCTGCAGCACCTTCACCTATTGTTCCCATTCTCTCAACTCTCAAGATACAGATAACATCTAGACAATATTAAAATGTCTTTTTCTTGTGAACTAATCACTGTACTTCTTTTAGCAGTCTGTTGAACAATATTCTGTAATATTCTAGGCAATTTAAGAGTAACTGGCAGCAGTAAATTAATGAGTGGGTCACTCTGGCAATTTAATGTTTCCATTTGGTCCCTTACACTTCAATCAAATGCTTTAGTAGGATACCAGTGTAAAGAAAAAGTATCTCAGTGTAAGTAAAGATTAGAATTATAGAAGATCTACATCACAGCTATTAATTAGATTCATGAGTTGAAAGGGAAAAGATGGCCAAAACCACTTGGTCAAAATCTATTAACCCAAAGTTATGATACTACAATATAGAAATATTCCTGCCAAAATGCTAAACTATTACAACTGATGTAAACTCCTAAAGAAAATCTGCCTTATCAAGACAATTTCAAAGTTTTGATATTTGAAAATTACACAAGAAAGAGTAATTTATTTTTTTCCCCCTTGTTCTGGACTAATTATACCTGCAGAAACCCTACTGCATGATCTGAACATTAATGACCAAGACCAGAGAAAGGATAAAAAGGGGTCAAACAGGTCCAAGTTTCAAATGTCTGTTTCTTACTAAGCCATATGCTACTAACCAGTTTATGGTAGAGCACAGAAGTTGCACTGACCCCTCTTTATCCTCTTAAGGACAAAAGAGGGCATACATATGACCATAAGACCACTGCATAGAAATGAAATACTATTATAGGACCAGCAGTTCATTTTGATCAGTTTGTCCTATTAACACTTCAATCTGAGACAGATAGTTTGATGTATCCCCTTCAAAACATATGGATAAAAATAACAAACCGGGAAAGAAGCAAATAAATACAACTTTGGAAAACAGAGGTCATGTTTCACAAATCTTTTAGAGTTGTCCAAAACTGTTAATTTTGGACGAGAAAAGCTTTACTAAGTTGTACTTGGGATTCCAAGAACCTTTTGTCCCTCAGAAAAAGTTCTTAACTAATTTACTGTGAAATAAGGCAAAATCCTCACACAAATTCATAATTAGCTAAAATATAGCAAGAAAAACACAGCAGTTAAGAAGAATATTTCACTGTGGAAGGGCACTATCAGAGGACTCCCACAGTTATATATGCTGTTCAGTATATAGATTAGTGATCTGGACAAGATGGTGAACACCAGACTGACCAGGTTTTCTACGCACAAGTAATGAGAACAATCAAAAGAAAATCAAACTACAAACAGCTGCAGAAGCAGCTCATGATACCGAATGACTGAGAGATAAAAGCACTGCTAAAAATATAGTAGATAAATGTATAGTAATGCACATGAGGAAAGACAGTATTAACTTTCTCCAAACTGTAATGGGATATGAATAGGCGATTAACATTCAAAGATAAGATCTTGTTGTAGGAAAAGCAGATCTTGAAAGGAATGGAATCGTTTTCATGCAAATAGCAATTAAGTAAACAAGAATTCATTAGTCTGGAAAAGATACATTTGAGGATATTGTATGACAAAAGTATGTAAAAAAGTAAATAACAAAGGGATTAGGGAACACTGTTTTACTTGCCCTTTTCATATAAGAAGCAGAAGTAACAATCAGAAGTAGAAGACAGTAGGATAAAACCAAAGAAAGTATGGATTTCTCTATAAAACGAACTCTGTCTCAGGAAGCCCCTATGACAGAAAACATTGGAGGTGCAGGAAATATACCATATAAATAATTTTACGTATTTCGTCTGGTTTTGTATTCTCTTGAGGGCATCTGTTGGGAACAAGCTATTTGGCTAGATGGTCCGTTAGTCTGACCCAGTGTACTGAGCTGGCTGACCTTCAAGCCTTCTGTCTACTAAACAGCTGCTGCTGCTCCTTTTGAAAACTCTCCACACCATTCCTCCAAAGCACTAAAAAATTTGGATGTGTAGAGATCATCTCTACAATCACAGCTTTTATCCTGTGGTTCATTTCACACCTTTGGCTTTCTGCTGAGACCGCCAACAATGTTGTCAATTAATGTCAATTTGTTTGTAACATCCGTCCATTAAGAAATGGATCGAACACAAAAATCTCATTTTTGACAGAACACTGAAAGAGAATCAGGTCCTGATGACACATAGTCACTACCCACCTGGGACAGTGGGGTACTGTAGACCTGGAGGGTCTGATTCTGTATCCCATTAGCAAACATTGACCTATGGAGGACAGTGCAGGCAAGTGCTTTCTTGCTTTTTTAAACAACTATATAACAACTCAGTATAGGGCAAGCAAGAAGTCTTACCAGGAGAAGAATGAATCCAGAAAGTCCTCCACTAAGTGGGAAACCTAATCAGACATGTATCAGTAATTAAGTTTTGATAAGAAGATAGGAAGGAAAGCAAAAGATCACAGCTGGCTAGGACTATCAATTTATCATCTTTTTGTGACATTCTATTTGCAGAGCTTGGGAAATTCAGTTATATTCACAAAATCATAGAATGGTTTGAGTTGGAAGAGACCTTAAAGATCACCTACTTCCAACCCCCCCCCCCCGCCACAGGTAGGGACATCTTCCAGTAGACCAGGTTGCTCAAAGACCCATCCAACCTGGCCTTGAACCCTTCCAGGGAGGGGGCAGCCACAGCTTCTCTGGGCAACCTGTGCCAGTGCCTCAACACCCTCACAGTAAAGAATTTCTTCCTAATATCTAACCTAAATCTACCCCCTTTCAGTTTAACACTGTTACCCTTTGTCCTATCACTACCCTCCCTGATAAAGAGTCCCTCCCCATCTTTCCTGTAGCCCTCTTTACATACTGGAAGGCTTCTATAAAGTCTCCCCAGAGCCTTCTCTTCTCCAGGGCTGAACAACCTCAACTCTCTCAGCCTGTCCTCATAGGGGAAGTGTTCCAGCCCCTCGATGATCTTCGTGGCCTCCTCTGGACCTGCTCCAACAGGTCCATGTCCTTCTTATGTTGGGGTCTCCAGAACTGATCAGAGTACTCCAGGTGGGGTCTCATGAGAGCAAAGTAGTGGGGCACAGTCACCTCGCTCGACCTGCTGGCAACATTTCTTTTGATACAGCCCATGATACAGTTGGCTTTCTGGGCTGTAAGTGCTGAAACAAAAAAGGCCCAAAGAATAGGCCTCAAACCAAAGTTGACTTCTGAGTGAATTCCCCGACCAGCAACCAGCGTCTTATCAGCAGCAGGAAGCAACCAGCATCTTATCAGCGTAAAATGCAACCC